AAATTCATAATTTTTTCATACGATGTCCGATTTGAGCGTTCTTTTTATGCACGTTTGTAGTTTAACGATATCCATGACTTTCATTTAGACACCTAAGGTCAAAAAGTATTTTATTGAAACTTTGCGTTTTTACGTAACTTCGTATTGCCGGTTTTTGTCGGAAACTTAGAATGGTCATAACTTCTTCGTTATAACTCGGATTTTTGTGTTCTTTATATGTATGAAAACCTTGAGACGATATTTACTATATAGTGTACTCTGAACAGAGTTTTTGAATACTTCATTTTTCGATGATATTCTAATCCCTTTTTCAAAGAGGTTACAAGACTCGATCTTCAATGATCTGAAATGACGGGTTGTTACAAGGTAGGGCAGCGAGTGATGGGTAGCACCAAGATAGTGCTTCAGACGACTGAGCAGATTCAACAGGTTAGACAGAGGTTGCTGACAGCCCAGAGTCACCAGAAGATTTACGCGGATAGGCGACGATCCGAGCTCGAGTTTCAGGTTGGAGATTTTGTATTGGTAACAGATAAGGTAAAGATTTGAATCTGGATTAAATCTGATTATTTAGTTTATTCAAATCAGGTTTATCTACAAGTTACCACATCTATGTAAAGACCCCTTTAGGCATTCGTAAATCCAATTCTATAGTCCCTAAAGTTTAGATTTTTGGATTTTATAATCTCTCTCGTCTCTCCTAAAGTTTCTAGGGTTTTAGTCTTTTGGTTGTGAGCTATTAGAGACATTCCTACTTTGAGTGCTAGATCTTCCAAGAGCAACAAATGAATTCAAAGTCTTTAAGTGTTCAAGTGACAAATCTAATTTTGTCATAAGATCAATAGTTTTATCCATCTTGTAGCTCTAAATTCATAGTTTTGAAAGGTATGTTGTTATAATTGTAAAACTTAGATCTAGGGTGCATGCTCACTTAGGGTTATATTTAAACACTCATGTTGCCTAAATTTCATGTATCGATGCATATAAACCCTATCAGTTTTCACATCATCCATATTGGTTATGAATGATACTTCCCTTGCTTCCATGAGAGCTTCCTTTAACCTCATCAGGAACCAGGTATAAGAGTCGATGTTATTTGTCATGGCCAGACATGATGCTATGGGAAGGGTCTGGTTGTTTTCGTCCATAAACACCGCTATGAACATTGTATTTAGGTTGTCCCCTCTTAGAGGGACACTACCTATAAAGATGACAGGTAATATGAATGCATGGAGCTGCATGTTTTAGGAAAAATACAAACAATTAGTTGTAAAAACATTATAAATCTTAATCAAACAATTAAACTTTAATTTTTTTTAGTAAAAATACAAATAATTAGTTGTAAAAATATTATAAATTTTAATTAAACAAGTAAAATTAAAAAAAAAATGTATATTTTATCACACATCCGATAGCCATAAAACATATTTGCAAACAATCATTAACATTGTAACATCCCGAAATTCAGGTAAAGCTATTTAACCCTTCCCTTTTGTCAAGTTGTCAAGATTAGTCCCTTGAGTGAGTTCTTGTAGCAAATGAGTATGTTTGGTGTACTGGGGAGTACATTGCGCGGACTCGCCTGGGTACGCTGGGTGTACCTAGGGTTACGCTGGGCGTAGCAGGACCATATGCAAACCCTAATATTTGGCTTGTGCACTATATAAGGGATGATAAGGCTCATTTCTTAGCCTCCATATCAGAGAGTGAAACCCTAAGAGAGCCTTCCATCGTCCTTAGCTTGAGTGTGAGTGTTTTGGAGCTAAAAGTGCCTTGGTGTGTTAGTGAAGAAGAAGGAGAGGAGTTGTGGAGGCTAGGGCTTGAGGTGCAAGTTTGGATATGAGATCTTCAGAGGAAGCAATTTCATCTAGAGGTATAAAGTTCAAAACTTTCCTCTTTATTTGGTTTGATGTTGCATGGACCATTTCTAGGGTTAAAATTCCCAAAGGTGGAGACTTTATGAGTGCAATGGACTCCATGGACCTGGATCTGTCCCATTTCAGTGATATTTGTGTTATAGATCCATAAAAATCCCAACTTGGCCGTTGTTATGGGGTCATGCTTAAGTTATGAGCTTTCTAGGGTTGGTAATGGAATGTTATGGGTGTTAGTGACTTGTCCAGCCATGCAAAGGCTTAAAGTCACCAACTTTATGGATTAAGAGGCTTAGAAATGGTCAGATCTAGAAGTTGGACATGTGTCTTAACTGTTTAAGACCTCAAGAGTCTAAAACTGGGAGTTACGCGGGGCGTAATCCCAATATGCGCGACGTAAGGGGTCGCGTACCCCGTTTCTGTGAGGATGCTGGGTACGCGCAGCGTAACCCGGAGAGTTGACTTTTGTTGACTTTTAGGGTTTGGTCAACTTTAGGGTCTTTGAGCCACGAGAGGGGTAAAATGGTCTTTTACCCTTCTGAGAATACTAAGAGAGGGAATAGTCTAGCCTTGAGAGATGTATTGATTAAGAGTGTTTATTTCATATGATTAGGCGGAGGCTAGACCAGATTTTTATAGAGTTCGAGATTATCGAGTTACCCGATGGGAGTCTTCTCATTATACTTTACCAGAGTGGTAATTAGAGTTATGTGACAGAGTAATTTTATGTTTTTGCATGATGAGATTTCTATGTGATTTATGCAATGTATTTACAGAGTTAGGACCGGAAGGTCCACAAAGTTAGGATCAGAGGGTCTACAGAGTTAGGATCGGAGGGTCCACAGAGTTATAGCATCGAGTGGCTATTATGTGTTATATGTGGTATTTTGGGGAACTCACTAAGCATTTATGCTTACAGTGTTGTGTTATGTGTTTCAGGTACCAGTGAAGATCGCGGGAAGACGTCGACATTATCAGTACACACATGAGGAGTTTTTATGCATTATGATCTTGGGTTGTGTTTCTATGGTTGATATGTGATACAATGATATTTTTATAATATTTATGAATGAAAGTATGTTTTTGAAAATGTAAAAATTGTTTGAAAATTTCGGGCGTTACAAACATCAGTTTTGATGTTCTTGTAGCTATGAAGGTTCGTCCTCCTAATATTTAACTAGCAAGTTGGTAAAACTTCATTTTTTTTTCCAATTTTTAGAAAAATTGATTATTTTTAATAAACTACTTATTTATAAAGATCAGTTTACTTAATTTGTTTGAAACAACATTGCTATAAACAAGAAAAATATAAAATCTATACTAATAAATTAAGATCCATTATGTCGTCATACGTCATTTTCTCATTCAATTGACTACATATCATTTTGTCATAATTTTGAAATATTTATTTTACACTTGTCATTTATTTTATTTTTTATTTTACAATATATAATTAATTTAGTTTTCATAAATTAAATATACCATAATGACTATATTAATTTCAAATTTCAAATTCAATTTTTAATAAATTACAGTTTAAACATTCATATTTAACAGTTTGTTATAATTAACCTGTTTAGTATACGAGTCTGATAACTAAACATATAATTTGAACTTATTCATTTTTCGTATGTTAATTTTTAATTTTTTTCTTATAATTTTTATTTATTTTAAATTTTAAATTTAAATAAGCTTTCTTATTAGGAATATCAACGGAGGTAAACGGGACGGGGAGTGGATCCCCCACCCCGCCCCGAATCCCCTTTATTACCCCCGCCTCCGATTGATTTTGGGTTACCTTTTTTTTTGGTTAAAAAAATTATTTTAGGTAAAAAATAGTTATTTATAACAGATTTTTATATGTTAAAAATAAAAAGTTATGATATCTTAAAAACATTATACTAACAATTTAAAAACATATTTTTTGATAAATTTTGAAAGTTCAAAATCATATTATTATTTATTATATTTATGTAATTAATATATGTGTAATTTATTAACGGGTTCCTCATGGGATTTCAGGACGTGATTCCCTATCCTCACCCGCAAAATCAAAACGGATGTTACCTTGCCCCATCCCTGTCCCTGATTTTTTTTGAAAACATTCTCCAAACAATACGAACTCTCACAAAAAATTTTGAAATTCCTATTTCTTATCCTCCTTTATAATTAACATTTTGTTTTAATAAATTGGGAATATGACTTATCAAGGTAATTAACTTTTCGGTATGTTCACATCTGGGTAATTATCTTTTTTTTGTATATATGTGGGTAACAAACTTTTTGGAAGTGTTCACATATGACCATTATGACCTGCTATAGCAGGTTAAATCCTAGATGTGAACGCTTTCAACAAGTTTGTTACCTAAATATGTACAAAAAAAATTGTTACCCAAATATGAACAAAACGAAAAGTAAAAATTAAATTACATGAATGGTCCCTGTGGTTTGGGGGAATTTGTGGTTTTGGTCGCCAACTTATTTTTTTTAACTTAAGTGGTCCTTACTGTTTATTTTTGTTGCGCGTTTGGTCCCCGTCTTACATAAAAATACTATTGTGCCCTTATTAATTTGTTTTTTTTAATTAATTTTCTTATCTATGTATTTATTTTTTACATATTTATAAAAAATAATAGACCACACATATTTGTATCTCCTCGGATGATCCCTACCATTTATTTTTTAATTAATTTATTTTTTTAACTCGAATGGTCCCTACTATTTACTTTTGTTACGAACTTGGTCTCCGTCTTACCTAAAAAGACTATTGTGCCTTTATTAATTTTTTTAATTAATTTTCTTGTTTATCTACTTATGCTTTATATGTTTAAGAAAAATTAGTAGACCTCACAAATCTGTATCTCCTCACCATCCCATCTTTCATCATTCTCAACTTCTATTTATTTTTCATCTTTAGTGATATCAACGTCTTCATCATCACTTCTTTTTTCGGTCCTTCAACTCCGTCGAATCAACACAACAACCCACTAAAGATGAAGAGACAGTAGGTTATGGTATTGGTTCGCCAAAGTTGAAGTACCAAAAAAAAAAAAAAGAAGGACGGTGAAGACGTCGATGTTACTAAAGATGGAAAAGAAATAGAAGATGAGGAGGATCAGAGATGAGATGGTGAATGGTAAGACTCAAATTAAATTTCTCAAATGTGGTTTCAGGTTTACGGTGATGAGATACATATATGTGGGGTATATTAATTTTTTTATAAAAAATAAATACATAAATAAGAAAATTAATTAAAAAAATAATAAGGGAAAAATAGTATTTTTAGATAAGACAGAGACCAAACGTGTAACAAAAATAAACAGTAAGGATCATCCAAATTAAAAAAAAAAAAATTAATTAAAAATAAACAGTAAAGATCATCCGAGGAGATACAAATATGTGTGGTCTATTAATTTTTTTAATATATAAAAAATAAATACATAGATAAGAAAGTTAATTAAAAAAATAAATTAATAAGGGCACAATAGTATTTTTAGGTAAAACGGGGACCAAACGCGCAACAAAAATAAATATTAGGGACCATTTAAGTTAAAAAAATAAATTAGCAACCAAAACCACAAATTCCCCCAAACCACAGGGACCATTCATGTAATTTAATTCTTAATTTTCATTTTGTTCATAGGGTAACAATTTTTTTGTACACATCTAGGTAACAAACTTGTTGAAAACGTTCACATCTAGGATTTAACCTGCTATAGCAGGTCATAATGGTCATATGTGAACACTTCCAAAAATTTTGTTACCTAGATATATACAAAAAAAAAAAAAAAAGATACTTACCCAAATGTGAACATACCGAAAAATTGATTACCCTAATAAATCGGTGAAAAAAGCAATATTTTCTTCTTTCTCGTGAAAAACTTCGTACCTACGTTTTTCTGAGACCAAATTCCGAGGGCGCTTTAGAGCGAAAGACTTGGCAAGAATTGGTGTAAATCGATCGACGATAAATTGATTTCACATCTGTTTCTTTTTGCATGCATCTCACTCTCTTCTGAACAAATCAATCGGTTTCTCACTCTAATCATGTTAACGATTGGCTCGATCTTGCCGGATAATTAGTTCTCCTGTTGAAGGTAACGTCTTTTGCTTCATTTCCCCCCTTTTACGTTTAACTCTTGATCTCTATCTGATAATCTATATGTGTATTTTGATTGCATTTGCTGTATACAGTTCTCGGTATGATTTTTTTCATCGTGGGTGTGCTCCCGTTTCCGTTTACGATATCTCTTTATCATTTGTTTATTGCTATACAATCTGCTTAGATTGCTTGCATTGTGATTTCTTTTGGCACCCTTTTTTACAAATGGGAAAGAATTTTGTGTAGTTTCCGGTTGATATCAAATTGCTTCAATGCAATTGGATACCTAAATTTGTGAAGTTGTTGGAGTATCTAACTATTTATAGTAATAAATTGTTTCTGGTTTTTGTTTGTCTATGAATTGTTTTTCTTTGAGAAGAAAACCAAAATTGGATTCTGAAATCATGTTTAACTTCTCAAGGTTGTTCTAGATTTATTATAGGTTCTAGACTTAGCATTGTCTTATACACCCAATTATAGTTAGTAATAAATTTGGATATTGAACCCCATTTTGATTATCACTTGTTCTGGATTTATTTTGATAAAGTGTTATCTTGATGTTGGAAAGATATTTAAGAGAAAGACTTCATACTTGGGGATATGGAAGGAAAAAACAAAAGAGGGAAAATTTGTAAACAGTTAGGACTTAATGGGGAAAGCTCCTTTTCCTGACCTTCTCTAATAAATCTTTCTTTTTTCATACTGTCGAATGATCAACTCATTCTTGTGAAGGTATCATATTTAATGAGATACGATTATGAATCTAATGAGATTCATAATGTGATTAGGTATCAATTGCTATTCGGTTTATGTTAATTCACTTGTACTCTTCGATTTAGTTTCCAATTTTTGTTTTAAACGTTAAATCTTTTCATTTCGTTTTTAAAATTGAAGCAACTTGTTTGACATTCTAAGCGAATTGAAGACATCTGATAGAGAAGGGGGGACTTCTTTTTTGTGCAAATGAGATAAGTTTACACCTAGGATTCCCTCTCTCTCTCTCTCTCTCTCTCTCTCTCTCTCTCTTGTTTGTGAAAAAGACGTAAATGCCCTCATCCTCATCATCAAAAGTAGAAAGAAATAGCATTTTGCTTTTATCTCTTGTATGTTCAATGTCAATGGATGTCCCTTTTCGTTCTCTGGTAGTTGCCATCTTTTGACTTTAAATGTCAAACTTTTATTTGTATGTTACCAATTGCTTATACCTTTTGATGTAAATGCAAGAAATTGCAACATAATTCTATCCATTTGTTAAGTTTTAGCATCTTACATTTCTTTCTATTACTACATTGTACTTCAGTGTTTCTTTTTTTCTAATTAAGATATGACCTTGTAAAATCTAACATTCAACATTTAATAGTTTCTTATTATGACACTATATTTTGATGACATTGCTATAATTAGGTAGGTTCTTGAAAGTAAAATGATGTAAAAGAGAGAAACAAAAGTAGGATGCTATAATAAACACATAAATGAAAGTGCATTGCTGTATCATGCATTTAGCCCTTAAACTTATCCAATAAACTGAAAGTAGTTTATTTGACAATCAGTTGTAATAAATTTATAAGCCTTCTATGCAGATGTTTCAACCTCCATTCGAAATGGAAAATGGTCACAACATGATTAACATGTCAACAATGAATGATATGCAAATGATCCCTTTTGACGAAAATGACCCTGAGGTGATAGCTCGCCGTATTAAGAACAGAGAAAGGCAACGGAGATATAGGGCTAGAAAGCGTCAAGAAGCCGATATGAAGAGAGCATCATATATCATAAGTCAACCAAGTCAACCACCAGTTCCCGAAACCCTAGTCAACAATACCCCCATGGAAATCGTAACCCGTGTCTACAGTCAAAGAAACTGGAAAAAAGACGCACGAAGGGCACATCTGCTAAAACAACAACAACAACATCAGCAGCAACAACAACAACAACAAGAACAACAGAATGTTTCTAGTTCTACATCTACAAAAGAAAGTATAGATTTAAGAAATTTGGGAAATCAATCGAATTTTGTGGACACAAGAGAACTTTCGAGTACCCCGAGTGGAAGAAATTGGAAAGCAGAAGCAAGAAACAAAAGAAAGTGAGAATCTTGCTTGTTGTTCAGGTCGAATTAGGAAGAAAATCACCAAAAGGTTTTGAGAAATGAGGTGGGTTTGTTTTTATTTTCATCCGCATTGTTTATAATGCAGGATTGTATTGCATTGGACTTCCATGAGGATTAATGCCAACGAGAAAAAAAAAAAAAAATTATATTATTTTGCACCACCCAAAGAGGTGGAACAAAGTGGGACCCAGACAGATGTGAGCGAGACAAAAATTGAAATTTTTTGTCCTATCCAAAAAGGTAGAATAAAGTGGGACCCGCAATAAAAGTTGCAATTTTTCGTCCTACCTAAAAATGGAACAAAGTGGGCTCACATGACATTGGGACATATGTGAATGAAACAAAAGTTGCAATTTTTTTGTTGTGCCCAAGAAAGTGGGACCGACATTAGGACAGGAACAGATGCGAATGAGACAAAAATTATAATTTTTTTTGTCTTACTCAAAAAGTGGAACAATGTTGTACTGATACTGATATTGATACAAGACTATGTCAACGTACACCAGAAGTCTGGCATAACTTTTTGTTTTTGTCTGTTTACTTGGTTTACACGTTTCCATCCGATAGAAGTCTTATCGGAAAAAGTTATCAAAATGTTGCGTCTTGTATGCACATAACACTTTTTGCTTATATGCATAACAAACACAATATTTTGACCTTTTTTTTGTGTGTGGAAAAAGTCTATATTTTACCTGTAACCAGGTAAAAAGTTAAAAAGTAGAAAGTTATGAGATACATTTGGGTTAGATAGTAAATTTTTTTAATGTCATGTTAAAAACGGGTCAAAATATTGGGTTTTTTTTTTTCAGAAATAAACCCAACAAAAAAGTCTCAACAGTGAGATAAATTTCAGATTTTTATTTCATTTAAAAAGGTGGGACATTGACATGTGTTCTCGATCTTTAGTCTATGCAAAAGATGTAAATGTTATTTTCATCTTTATTATTGAAAATAGTCCTAGAAAGTTTGAGTCGTAGTTCTTGTTGATAAATTTATTTAATTTTGGCATGATTGCAGATATTAAAGGTGGGGAAGAATGCTTTGAGATTTTTCTTTTCTTTTTTTTTTTTTTTTTTGTGAAGAGTCGCCTAGAAAGAGTTGTGGTCCTTGGAAGTTAGAAGAGATTGAAAAGAGTATCAAAATCGTCATAAGTTTTTTTTTTTAATCAAGATGCAAGAATGGTATTAACCGTTTATGTAATCATGAAAAATCTTATGCTGTTGCTTAGGAAATATTTTATTGATTATTGATATATGAGGCATCATGTGCTATTTATCAACCATGGTTCATTTTGACTTTTGGTTGCTTTTCTGCGAATGTTGTAGCGACTTTTTAGGGTTATTTTGTAATAATAAGTGTATTTACGTCTTTTGCACAACAAGAGATAAGGAGTGAGTCATTTCTTATTATTTTGTGTTGGGACAAAATTATTAAAAAATTGTTCATTTGATATCTTCAAATATTTATGGATTTTAACGCACACACAATATCGTATGACGCAAGCCTTACATTTTATTATTATTATTATTATTATTATTATTATTATTATTATTATACCGTTTTGCTATCTCTAATCGCAACATCAAAAAGAAGGTGAAGGCAATGTCCCATCCAAACATTATATAAGAGATGCGTGTGGTTAACCGTAGATCCATCACATGATTGCTCCATTTAGTTAAAGATATGGGTGTGTAGAAAAATAAATATCGCAAAAAAAAGAGAGAAAAGAAATGCATAACAAATGACCTAAAAAACCATAATTGAGCCACAAATATCAAATGACGTCGCATAATTGGTTAATAGTCTCAATTTTTGAGAAGTCTTTTCCGTTTTTAATCTTCATTCCATTCTTCAACACATGGTAGTGCATTGACAATAGTTGTTTAGTCAAATCAAACTACTTTATAGACAATATTCGTTAGAAATGACATCTCAAAGCATTGTTGCCCAACACTATAAGTAGACGAAGAGTAGACGGTTATAGAAGAAAAAACCAAAATGCATATAGATAAATTCATTTAATTTAGGAAAATTTTAAATAATTAAGAATCAATCTATCATATGTTCCAAAATAGTTCATATATATATATATATATATATATATATATATATATATATATATATATATATATATATATATATATATATATAATCCTAAAACCTAACAAACCAATAGATTGAAAAAAGAAAAAACATCATAAATGGTCCATGTGGTTACCTAAAATCTAAAGTTTAGTCCCCGTGGTTTAAAAACCTCATAGATAGTCCCTGTATTTCAAACTTTTGACAATTGGTCCTTCTTGCTAACTCTGTTAAGTTTGTCCGTTAACTGAAGAGCATTTTCGTCTTTTCACTACCACAATATTTCATTTAAAAAAAAACATCATAAATGGTCCCTCTGTTAGTGAAATGACGAAAATACCCTTTAGTTAACAGGCAAAACTTAACAAAGTTAGCAATAAGGACCAATCGTCAAAAGTTTTGAAAACACAGGGACCATCTATGAGGTTTTTAAACTATGGAGACTAAACTTCAGATTTTGGATAACCAAAAGGACCATTTATGATGTTTTTTCTTGAAAACAACAAATACAATGGAAATAATATTAATTATTAATCATAGATTTGCAAAATATTATTTTTATATAGAGTTTGACGTGTACTTATCATCGTTATTTTAATTTGATATGATAATGTTATATAATTAAATTGAAAATTAAATAAATTGAAAAAAACAAATACAATGGAAATAATATTATTTTATTAAAAGTTAAAATATAATATAATTTAAAAACCAAAGAGAATCAATTATGAAAATAATGTTGTTTTATATAAAATAACAATAACAAAGTAAAATAATAATATAAAAGATTTGAAACTTTTTAGATATAACATGCATTTTTTTATCAAATGATTTCATATCATATATATGTAAACGTTTAAGTACGAAATTTTGTTAACCCAATTATTGTTGATATGCATTTTTTTATCACATGATTCCATAACATTTATACGTGAATGTTTAAGTACGAATTTTTTTAACACAATTATTGTTGATTTTTTCAGAAAGATTGTTACTTACAGATTAACAAATGATCAACCTATTCAAAAGAATATTATTATTTTTCCTCTTTTTTACTTTTAATATTTTGTAATATATGTTTGTGCTAATAATAAACTATTTAACTAAGTAGACATTCAATAAAATAAGCATGTATTTCATATTAATTTTATTTGAAATAGAGCTATATACATATATAAAAGTGTAATAAGATTATATATGCTAAAAATGACCTATAAATAACCGACGAAAATGTTCATTTTACAGTGACATATCATCATATGTGTTGTCGAGTGAGTCGTAATTAAACAAAAAATTTGAAAGGATTTAAAAATTGAAAGGAAATTGAAAGAATTAAGATTTATTATATGTTTGGTGGACAAACAACAATGAAAAATTCAATTCCTTTAATTTGTTATATCCTGTTTGTTTTACCGTCCTGTCAAAAGAATTAGAGTCAAAATTATCTTAAATGACTAACACTTCTTTTTATCCTTTTAATTTATGAAGCTATTTTTAAAATCTAAATATATTAACATATAAATGCATAGCCTAATTTCATACACATCTATAATAATATGACTTTAAAAATCAAAGCATATATGAGGGAGGTAAATGAACTAATTAGTGTCTAATTTAAAGATATTGACATAGTAAATCAAATTGTATTCACAATGAAAAATTATAGCGGATATTCAACTGGATTTACCGCCTAAAAACCATTAAAATCAAATTAGTATATAACCAATTTCCTCATATTATTTGACAAGTAAAAAAAGATTACAGACTAACTTCTTTGATTTTTGTGATAACATAATATTTTTGAATAACTTATTGGTTATTTCAAGGGAAGAAAAAAAAATCATTTCTTTATTTTAAGAGAATTACCGATTACCATATATAATAGCTATAATAAGAAATGTTCAAATTTCTATAGGAAAAATTTAAATGGAAGGGAAAATAAATGGAAGAGCTCTGTAAAAATGACACGTGATAAACCGGATTAGTAGAAGATGACATGTGTTCTTCAAAAAAGTCATCGTCAATTTGGTTACACAAGTCGGTTTTCAAGAGTTTCATCTTTGAAAAATATCTTTCTACACTTGCAGTCGTTACGGGTAATATCAAAGCCAACTTTAAAAGCTTATAAACCAATGAATATTTCTTTCACATAGCCAAGACTATCGACTTAACACAAAACAATAACCATTTGTTCCTTTTTTGAAACATCACTAGATTCATCAACCAGTAAACCAAATACATCTTGACCAATCTCTTTACAAATACTCAAAAGTACTTCTTGTGCAATACATCACACAAGTTCTTTTTTTAATTTTAGGGGAGATTAGTTGATTGTTTTTAGGAGCATTTTCTAAAGTATTGTTGAAAATATCTTCACTAGTCTCTCGAATGGCTTTTAACTCTTCAATCTGAAGCCCTTTATTTTCCGAGTTAACCAACTCTTCATAACCACGAAATGGTAAACCGGTTTTCAATAAAAGTCTAACAGTAATAGAAACACGTAATCGGGCTTTATATTTATGGTCATCCTCTTTGGTTTTCCTCCTCAAGACTACATTAATAGCTTGTTTTTCCCTCATTAAAAATTCACACATTTCTTTTGCTTTGTTGTGAAAACTATCAAAACTACTCACATGAGTCCCAAATGCATCTTATTTATTCCAAGTAGCAAAACCTTGGGAAACAAATGAATCTCTCCCTCCTATTTGATTCATGAGGTCTCCACACATATAACAATATAAACAATATTTTCTATTCTTTTTCACAATATATTCCAACCAATCAAAATCATCAAACCATGAAGGAACGAATATTCTAAATCTATCACCTATTTTTTTGGAAACTTATGTGCCCTTATTTGACAAGGTCCTTGAAGCAAATACGCTCTTCTTACATAAT